GGTCACAAGCTGGCGGAGGGAAGGTTTAAGTTGGACATCAGGAGGCGCTACTTCACGGTCAGGGCGGCTAGGGTCTGGAACCAGCTTCCAAGTGAGGTGGTGCAGGCTCCCACCCTGGGGGGTTTTAAGAGGAGGTCGTTTGACCCCAGTGCTCTTCCTGCCATGGCAGGGGGTCGGACTAGATGATCTGCTCAGGTCCCTTCCGACCCTAGAAACTATGAAACCATTTACCTTTAAATCCAAAATAAGCATATCTGCTCTGGCACACATGATTCAAAATAACTAGCGTGACTGGCTGAGATACTAGGCATGTCTACATGTTCATTAATGCACTGTAGTTACTACACATTAAGTTTATTACTTAGTTAACCAAGTACTGATTCAATGTACAGTAACTTACGCTACTGCACAGTAGTGCTAACGCAGGGGTCAGCAACCCCTGGCACATGTGCCAAGTATGTCACGCGAGGCCATTTTGCTCAGCACACCCCAGCTCTGGGTAGCTGCTGCCAGCCACGGAGCTGCTCCCAGCAGGTGGCTGCAAGCCCTGCTGCAAGCAGCCCTGGGCTCCGTGATTGGCAGCAGCTACCCAGCACCGGGGCTGGCTGCAGCTGGGGGGCTGCAAACAGCTGCACCGGGCTCTGGCATCAGCTTTGTACTGTCATGTGCATGCGCACCTCAGAGCGGACAGTGGGGGAGGAGCCTGAGGCAGGGCAACCCCAGTCTCTCCCCTACTCCCATCACAGAGCTGATGACTGGGCTCCAGAGCCTGGTGCAGCTGTTTGTAGCCAGCCTGGGCTCTGAGCAGCTGCAGCAGGCAGGGGGCAGGCTGCAAACAGCTGCGCCAGGCTCCACAGCTCCAGCATCAGCTCCATGCTAGTAGCAACTGCACATGCATCTCAAAGCAGACAGCAGGGCAGTGCAGCCCTCACACTCCCCCTCGCCTGCCCCCCCCAGCCCATGCTGCTATGCCTCCCTGCCGTCTGCTCCAAGGCAGGCACGCACACGCTGGTACAGAGCTGATGCCGGAGCCCCGCGCACCTGATTGCAGCCTCCCAGCTGCAGCTGCCCAGAGCCCAGAAACCTTATTCCTGAGCTTATTTGGTCAGTTCCAGTCCCAGAGACTCTGGGCTCACAGCTGTGAGGCTAGGGCAGGAGCATTGCTTCAATGTTTTGAGCAGCTTGGTCACCCTGGACATCCAGATCCAGCCCCTCCAGAGAACCAGGGAGTGCTGGGAGCTGGATCTGAGGTGATCTAGCCTCTGGGCATCGTGTTTGGAAGGAACGAGCTTCCCTCCTCCGAACCTAAGCTCTCAGAGATGCTGGGCAGAGCCACGTGGCTGCTGCTCAGGGACCATGCAGCCTGGGGCTGTTCCAGTCTCCTACTGGGACCCCAAACCAGTGGCCCCAGCTATGCCACTGCCATCCTGCATGGCCACGGGCAAGTCCCCCGCTCCCCTGTGCCTCTGTGCATTGCAGCTTAGAGTGAGGTGGGATTTGTTCCCTGGGGCCAGAGTCATGCCCCAGGAGCCCTTGTGGAGGCTCTGGCTTACTGCTTCAGTCCCTTCAGGGTACAAGGACAGAATCCCCTGGCTCCAGCCCAGCTCTC